CCATTTCATTTTGCCTGTCTAAACATTGCATAAATAACTACTTGATAAATTCAATGTTGATTTTGGCACATGAACAGACATACAGAAAAGTGACTGCTCATTTTAAAATTTATAAAGCCAATATAAATAGTAATCAAATATCAAAGGAGAATTCCTAAAAATGTTTAAAATTCAAAATGATGTTTAATTTGCCAAAGTTCAACCCACTTATGGAGCTTAATTCAAAAATACTTTTGGCCAATATTTAAAATAAAGTGACATTTGACAGACTATTCAAATATTAAGTTTAAAAATATACCTGGGAGGCAGAGCTTGCAGTGAGCTGAGATCCGGCCACTGCACTCCACCCTGGGCGACAGAGCCAGACTCCGTCTCAAAAAAAAAAAAAAAAAAATACTCTTCCTAAATAATAATTTTAATACAAACTCTAGATCCACAACTTGTAGGATTAACTATCTCTTCCCCAATATGCCAAAAACATGTACACATCCAAATATGCACATGGAATATGAATGCTAGAAAAGTTTAAGAATATATTATGAAAAAATTTCATGTCAGGATAAATAAACTTCAATAGTTAATGAAAAATAATTATTAAGTTTAAGTTGTCTTTAAAATTAAATTTTACATATCTTTTCAAGATATATGAGAAGACATACACCACCTATCTCACTATGGAATGTGGTAAAACAAACATAATTTATAGCTGTGTCATGGCAGCCAAATGGCATAAATTCTTCAGATGCTGAACCTTGCTAAAATAGCAACACCAAACTTCATGAACAAAGTGAAGTAGAAGAGCAAAGAGAAGAAAAATCTAATACAAAAACAGTTCTAATCTAATCTAATACAAAAAAATTTCTTTCTGGTTGTCTTACAGCTTAAGAGAAAATTTAAAACTCTCCTTAAGCTGTAACTGCAAAAAAATAATAAAGAAAATCCATTAGTTAAAACGAATTAGGTAAATGGTATTGAGGCTACTTGAATTTATGTCACAGTGCCCTTAGTATTAACCACACCAACCGTGGGCCACACACATTTCACTAAATGTACTTGGTGGTTGATTCTAGAAATGTCATAATTCAGGAAATGTACAAGGAAAAAAACTAGTGGAAAAGCAAAAGCAACCAGTGAAATATCTGACAAAATTGAAAATAATACCACACAGGTCGAAAAAAAATCCAATTAACATATATAATTTCAGTTTTGTGCTATATTCCAATAGTTCTTTTCAGTTTTCTAATTTACATTGTTTTTCATATATTTCAGTAATATATAGGCATACCTTGGAGAAATTGCAACTTTGTTTTCAGACCAAGGCAATCAAGTCACATGAATTTCTTTGTTTCATAGCAGATGTACATGTTATGTTTAGAATATACTGTAGTCTGTTAAGTGTGCAATAGCATTGTCTTAAAAAATGTAGATACCTTAATTTCAAAAATACTTTACTGCTAAAAAATGCTAACAATGATCTGAGCCTTTAGCTAGTACTAATTATTTGCTGGTAGAGGGTCTTCTCTCGATGTGTTTGGCTGCTGACTGATCAAGGTGGTGGTTGCTGAAGGTTGTGGCAATTTCTTAAAACAAGACAAAAATCAAGTTTGCCACATTGGTTGACTCTTTCTTTCACAAAAGATTTATCTGCAGCATGTGATGTCATTTGACGGCATTTTATCCACAACAGGACTTTCAAAATTGATGTCAATCCTCTTCAACCCTGCTGATGCTTTATCATCTAAATTTATGCAATATTCTAAATCCTTTGTTGTCATTTCAACAATGTTTACAGCATCTTCACCAGTTCCATCTCGAGAAACCACTTTCTTTGCTCATCCATGAGAAGCAACTCCTCATCCTTTCAAGTTCTATCATGAGATTGCAGGAATTCTGTCATCTCTTCAGGCTCCACTTATAATTCTAGTTCTCTTGCTCTTTCTACCTCATCTTCAATGACTTTCTCCACTGAAGTCTTGAACCCCTCAAAGTCATCCATGAGGGTTGGAATCCACTTCTTCCAAACTCCAGTTAATCTTAGTATTTTGACCTTCACCCATGAATCACATATATTCTTAATGGCGTCTAGAATGGTAAAAACATTTCCAGACAGTTTTCAACTTATTTTGCCCAGATCCATAAGAGGAGTCACTATCTATGGCAGCTATAGCCTTACAAAATGTATTTCTTAAGTAATATAACTTGAACATTGAAATTATTCCTTGATCTGTGGGCTGTAGAATGGATATTGGATTAGCAAGTAGGAAAACATTAATCTCCTTGTACATTTACATCAGAATTCATGCGTGACTAGGTGCATTGTCAATGAAAGAAATCTTTTGAAAGGAATCTTTTGTCTGAGAAGCAGGTCTCAACAATAAGCTTAAAATACTCAGGAAACCATGCTATAAATAGATGTGCTGTTATCCAAGCGTTGTTGTTCTGTTTATGGAGCACAGGCAGAGTAGACTTAGCATAAGTCTTAAGAGCCCTAGAATTTTCAGAATGGTTAATAAGCATTGGCTTCACCTTCAAGTCACCAGCTGCATGAGCCTCTAACAAGAGAGTCGGCCTGTCTTTTGAAGTTTTGAAACTACACATTGACTTTTCATCTCTAGTTAGGAAAGTCCGAGGTGGTCTTTTCTTCTAATAGAAGGCTGTTTTGTCTACATTGGGAATCTGTTGTTTAGTGTAACCACCTTCATCAATGATCTTTGTTGCACTTTCTGCATAACTGACTGCTTCACCTCATACTTTTATGTTATGCAGACAACTTCTGCTCTTAAACTTCATGAACCAACCTCTGCTAGCTTCCAACTTTTCTACTGCAGTTTTCTCACCTCTCTCAGACTTCAGAGAACTGAAGAGAATTAGAGTTTGGCTCTGGATTAGGCTTTGGCTTAAGGGAAAGTTGTGGTTTATTTGATCTTTTATCCAGACATAGAACTTTATATCAGCCGTAAGGTTGTTTTGCTTTCTTATGATTTGTGTGTTCACTGGAGTGTACTTTTAATTTCCTTCAGGAAATTTTCCTTGTATTCACTACTTAGCTAACTGGCACAAGAGGCCTAGATTTTAGCCTATCTCAGCTTTCAACAAGCCTTCCTCACTAAGCTTAATCATTCCTAGTTTCTAATAAGTGAGAGATGTGTGATTTTTTTCCTTTCACTTGGACACTTAGAGGCCATTGTAGGGTTTGTAAGTGGGCTAATTTCATCATTTTTGAGTCTCAGGGAATAGGGAGGCCAGAGGAGAGGGAGAGAGATAGGAGGACTGCAGGTCAGTGGAACAATCAAAACACAATACCGATTAAGCTCAGTGTCTTACATTTGTGGCACCACAAAACAATCACTGATCACCGATCACTGATCACAAATCACCATAATAATTATAATAATAAAGAAAAAGTTTGAAATATTGTAAGAATTATCAAAATGTGACCAAGAGGCATGATATGACCTCAAGCTGGGAAAACAGCACCAATAGATTTGCTCAAGGCAGAGTTGTCACAACCTTCAATTTGTAGAAAACACAGTATCAGCAAAGCACAGTAAAACAACATATGCCTGTAATTCACATACCATTCAATTAATCCATTCAAAGTGTACAATTCAATGACTTTTAGTTGAATTATGCAACCATCATTACAATCAATTTTAGTATATTTTCATCACCACAAAAGAAACCTCGTACAATTAGCAGTACTCCTCATTTCTACCAAATTCTCAGCCCTAGGAGACCACTAATCTACTTTCTGTCTCTATAGACCTGGCTATTTTGGAGATCCCCTATAAACGGAATCATACAATACATAGTCTTTTGTGACTAGTTTCTTTCACTTAACATGATACTTTCAAGGTTCATTTGTGTTGCAATTCTTTTTTATGGCCAAATATTATTTCACTGTATAGAAGTATACATTTTATTTATACATTCATCTGCTGACAGACATTAGGGAAATTTTAATTTTTTAGTTATTATGAGTAACGTTACTAAGAATATGCATGAACAAGTCATATGTACATGTATATCTCCATTTCCTTTGGGTATATACGTATCTGAGAGTGGAATTGCTGGATCATATGGTAATTCTGTATTTAACTTTTTGAAGAACTGACAGACTGTTTTCCAAAATGACTGTGTTGTTTTGAAATCCCAACACTAATGTATGAAGGTTCCTATTTCTCTATTATTGCCAAAATAATAGAGCCATGCCTTCAGAATTCTGAAGAAAAGTGGTATCTAACATAAAATTCTGTAGTCTGCCAAACTATCAACTAGGCATGAGAATAGAATAAAAATATTTCCAGAAATGTTTAGATAGGCAAATACTCAAAAATTTTTATCTCCATCACCTTACCCTTGGGAAACCACTATGTCCACAATGATAAAATAAAATACGAAAAAGGAAAACTTGTGTGCTGCTGTTTTCTGTAGTCTTGTGCAAGTATTTGACTTTTAAAACTATATGCATGTAAAATGTTGAATTTAAAAAAAATACTTAAATTTGAAAAGAAGATGAACTCTTCTTATGGACTGGTTGAAAACTGTTTAGTGAAAACATTAACTGAAATCACCTCAATTAATTCTAGTTTGGAATGTTTATTTACTTGATAGAGCATTAAAAAAAGAGGCAAAGACTTTTATACAAACTTCCTTTTTATTTTTGTATTGCAAGTGACGAATACTTGTAAACTAGCCTTTTGAAATTGACTTTAAAAGGCTCTACATAAATGGTTACACTGAGGAAACACCTTTTGGAATGTGAAATAATTGAGCTCATCATGGGAATAGGTGTTTGTGGCTGGGTTTTTTAAAAACCCAGTGGTCAACACATCACAGACAGATTAAAAAGGTATTAAATTTCAAACTTGTGCTGTGGAAACTATTAAATGACTCTGGTCATGACAAAATCATTAACAATAAAGATTCAAGTAAACAATTCAAATAATATTGTTTCATTAAATGAGCAGGGGAAAAACGTGCATTACTAAATCAATGTATTATTTTACATGATAACTTTATTTTAAATACATATTACCTAAATTAAATATTCTAAGAAAAAGAAAATTAGCTATCAGTTTCCCAAAAACATCTTTCATTTTCATTGAGGTGGCAAGAATGAAAGCAAGGTGAGCGCATCATTCCTTAAAAGCTGAGGCCATGACTTAATCATACTTGCATTTTATGACCATCTGACTGAGGAAGTCTCTCTCCTCCCTCTCTATCCTATCACCTTGTTTCTTTCCTTCATAGCACTTATCACTCTCTGATATTTTCTTGTTTATTTCTTGGTTTATATGCTTCAAGTTTATCTCTACCAACTAAATGTCAGCCTAATGAAAGCAGAGCTCCTGCAGTCTTGTTCACATCGGAATGCATCCTCAGTGCTACCCAATGCCTCTCAGATCATTGATATTTATTAAAAATTAAACAGATGAGCAAAAGAATGGGCAGCTGGTAGGCATAGTAAACAATGCACACTAATGAAATCTTTTTCACAAATGTGGGGTCATCTTCTGATCACTGCGAGGAAAACTGCTTTCTAACAATTCTTGTGAGTGATAGTCTACGATACTCCTGGTATTGAAACCTTCTTACTCACTGAATAGACTCATAGTGGGGTTGTAGCTATTAGTAGCCTGTGTTCTCTGAGAAAGTTCTCAAGAATTTTTATCACCATCCTACTTACAGCGAAAGCATCGTTCACTCTGCAGCTACTGCATGAGGTCTGGCACAATAGGGAAAAAATGGAATAATGTTAGTTATTCAAAAGCACATAACTTGTTTACTCATTTACTTCAACAGGGCATTTTGCTTTACCGCTTTGAAGCCAGATCATTTCTAGTTTCACTTTCCCTGAAACTCTTTGATGGCTCCACAGTGACTATGGAAAAGTCCACAATGTTAGCATGGAAAACAAGTCCTTCCACAGTTGGGCTGCTTCCTCTTTCTCACTTTCTCACTACCTGGTTTCTCTCTCATGTATGGGATTTTGGAAGTGTGGACAAGGAGCTGTGGATATATATCAGCATACGGAGATTGGGGAAACCAGCTATAGCAAAGAGCTTCCAGTCCCTGAATAAGCCAAGGGGTTTCTTCCGTCAGCACTTCTGCTCACCCAGCTCTCTCTGCTTGGAAAGCACTCCCTCTCCACTTAGTGGTTCCTATTCTTCGGTTAAGACTCCATGAAACCTTCTCTAGCACCTTGTGGAGGACAAATGACCAGCCTCTCTTCTGGGTGGAGGCCACTACCCTCACTTGCAGATTTCTCATAGGACCTGGCTCAAGGTTACTCCCAACACTGCATCTCCCATCACTTTCTATTTTTCACTCCAGACACTGACCTCTTTGCAGGTCCTCAAATCCCTATTTTCATTTGCCAGGAGTGAAAAATATCTTCTCAGACATTTACACAATGTGTTCTCACCTCCATTCAACTCTCTGCTCAAAGGTCACTTCCTAGGAGAGGCTGTCTTTGTCCACCCTGAGAAATTCCTCCCTTTCTCATTTTTCTGAATAGAACTACCTCTTCTTTAGCCTTTACACTAGCTTACTTTTTCTTTGTAGTACTGATCTAACATTATATATTTAGTAATGTATCTGTCTTCCCTTCTAGAATATAAGCTCTGTGATGGTGGATCTTTGTTCTGTTTACTGCTATGAATGTGAATGAACGAATGATTGAATGGCACTTGTGGCACCTGATGACTCATGTTGGCTTGATATTTTGCTGTCTTTCTCTGCGGGGATTGTATCCTATGCCTCTTAGTCTCCAGTTCCTTTCTGGCACAGAGTAACTTAATATTCCTTCTATGACTGAAGGACATCAAGTATAAGTTACCTGTAACAATTGTTCCCAACAGAGACTCTGAATCCATGTATACTGCATAAGGTGAAGAACACAACTATATTTCCACAATCCCTTTATCTAAAACTCAGGACCAGATGTGTTTCAAAATTCAGAATCATTTATTTATTTATTATTTTATTTTTTGAGACAGAGTCTCTCTCTGTCTCCTAGGCAGGAGTGCATTGGTGTGATCTTGGATCACTGCAAGCTCTGCCTCCCAGGTTCATGCCATTCTCCTGCCTCAGCCTCCCAAGTAGCTGGGACTACAGGTGCCCACCACCACAGCCGGCTAATTTTTTGTATTTTCAGTAGAGATGGGGTTTCACCATGTTAGCCAGGATGGTCTCGATCTCCTGACCTCGTGATCCACCCACCTCGGCCTCCCAAAGTGCTGGGATTATAGGCGTGAGCCACCACACCCAGCCAATTCAGAATCATTTATTACTTAACACCCCTGTCAGAGTCAGTATCCTGTTATCTAACCCATGAAGAGCCTTGCAACAAAACATGTGAAGAGCCATACTACATGTGAGAAATAATGCTCAAGTCAGAGTTTGCTGTCAAGTGAGTTGTCAAGATAGATTTCCTAAGTATGGGATTTTGGAAGTGTGGACAAGGAGCTGTGGATATGTATTAGCATATGGAGACTGGTGAAACATCTCCATAGTAACATGGGTTTCCCACAATCCAGAAGGTTAAGAATTACTGATTTAATACATTAGTTTAAATAATTTATTTTTTCATTGTAGCTTACATTAATGAAGCATTTACTTTATGTCAACCCCTGTGCTGAGCTCTTTAAATATGTATGTAAAACTATTATTTGTCCCATTTTACAGGGGAGGAAACTATGGTTTAGAAAGAGGCTTAGCATATCTTTGCACTGGTAACTGACTAAGCTGGACCCAGACTGAAGCTGCCTCACGATAAAAAGCCATGCTCTTATTTCATATTGCACAAGGTCAAAATTCTTTAGTCTTTCCAGTTTCTTTGTGATGTTGGGTCTAAGAAAAGTTTCTGTAATTCAAGTAAATGTGAAAATCCTCAGGCTACAAGTTCTCTTTTGTAAAAAACAGGCTGGCTATATGTAGTCAACATTTAACTGATACTCGTATAATGGAATAATATATTTTCTCAGCTACACCAATGTTTTAAAAGTTTGTAATCAGAGATCAAGTGATTTCAGATAATTAAAAAAATATACAGTCACACTAACTTGCCCTGATTTCCTTTGTAGAACCATGATCTGTAGAACCAAGGTCTGCTGTTACCTGATATATGAGAATAGGAATAGTAGAAGAGGCCATCAAAAGGCACTAGTTATAAATAATATGTAGATTTTTAACTTACCCTTTTCAAGAACACTTTAGCTGCCTGAATTTTTTAAAAGCCAGACAGAAGTTAATAAAATATATTTGTGATGACCAAATTTTGAAACTCCTTTGGAATTAACAAATATAGCAGTGATAGTTGGCATTAAGGAGTCACTTGTATAGAAACAATAAAGCTATATTTTAAAAATCTATGCATAGGGCTACAGCTTCACCTGAAGACACAGTGTTTTGGAACATACCACACTCATGGGAAAGCCTCCGATTTTGAAATGTAGAGTAGCAAAAACACAACACACAGTCATTTCATGGTACAAAGCCGATACTATAAACATGAGAATTAAGAAATGAAAATAACATATACACTAAAAACATCACAACAGAAACAGGCTTTATTTCAACCAGACAAATGAGTTCTTCAATTAACATCAACTTCTTCAAGACTTGAAGATATGGAAATTAAAGATGGTGCTCAGAAGGCAGAGAAAGGAAGATTCTTCATGGAGTAATTGTTCTGTCCTTCAAAAATCCCTTTCAACAATAAGCTCAATACACAAGATCATGGGATCTCACGCATTCCGATATTTGTACGTGACCCTCATTTGAAAGTTACCCATCAGTCTTAATGAAATCTTTCAAAAAGAAAAAATATATAGATCAGTATAAATTATTTTTAATTTTAGAAACTGAGATTGAAGTACAGTTTTTAGTTTAAAATATTAAAAATGAAAAAAACTTTAACATTATTAAAGATGTATTGTTACAAATTTCCTAGATATATACATGTACAAAACAAACAGATATTACTCTCTGACACCTCAACCCATGACTTACCCTAAATCTCCTGATAAGAACAATTAATCTACTGGGAGGCTTTTCCCAATAAGTTCCAAACTTCTTGCCCAAAGATTTGCTGCCATTCATATTCTGTGCATGGATGAGGACATTTCATCATAGACTATTTCAACTTAATATCACCTAGCATAAAATAAATCCAATGAAACACTACATTTATAAGGGATAAGACAAACTTGCCAGACTCATTAAATTCATTAACATTCAGTCTTCTCTTCACGGGCATTTTCAAGAGCTTTAGATCTTGTGCTTAACTTTGTATTGAGCTGGTCAGCACCTTCATTGATATGAACAATTATGTCAAAGAAAGTTTACAGGTAGGGGAGGGAGATCATCCGAGGACAGAAACAGAGGGAAGGACTCTCTTTTTTCATAAGACAACTAAAACAGAAAAACAAGACAAAAAAGGGTAAACAAACAAATAACAAAAGTGTTCACAGTAAAACATGCCAGATTTGTAGTTTCATTTGAAACCAACAGCAAATCATGAAACGTCATGAAAAATATGAGTCACGGTAAAATCTCCTAGAGTAATTACTAAATGAAGTTAAAATCACCACACTGATCAGTAAACCCCAGAAGAAAAATGAACAGCGCTTACATATCAGGTCCTTCTTAAACATCAAACAACTTTTCAAAGTTAATGCATACAATTGGTAGGTTTGGCCACGCTGCACCATTTTTTTAAAAAAATACAGTATACAGAAAAAAAACCTTTTATATTCCCCTGTTTTGAATCATTAGCTCAAAACCTAAGAGTAAAAGATCATCTGGAAGGATTTTAAATTATTTACAAATCCAGCAGGTTCATCTGCCATAATGGCTTGGTTTCCGTCCCAAAGCGACTTTCACCTTCTCCAGCAGCAATTTTTTAGTTCTCTGTCCTTTGGGGAGGCTGTTCCCTCCACTGCTCATCTCTACTTGTCATCGGTCATTTTGAACAGTTCCAACAGGGCCCCAACGGCTCCAAAATAACCCTATGAAAACAATACAAAACGATGATCTCTGAACCTTAGCCAAATACCTATTGTTTTTAATAATTCTAGGAATGCCATTAATGTAGATAAGAGAAATTTAAAACCTAAATTGTGCGTCACAAAACATGGCAGAATAATAACAACTATAATTTATTGGACACCTACTTATACATATTAAATAAATTCACATATGTAAGTGCTTAGAACTATGTCTGGCCCATGTGTGCTAAGTGTGTGCCGGGGGTTGTTAGTATTATAACTATTTCATCTTTATCTTCATCATGGCAAAACTCTGATTATTATTTCACATATGAGAAATGGAAGGTAATAAAGTAAATTACGCTTGCAGGGTCACAAGTCTTGTACCAGGGCTCAACACCAAATCTGTCTGACTTCAAAGCTATATTTCATGGGAGAAAACCCTAAACTTCCCTCAGTAGCTCTTGCATAGGCACTTAAATTAGTCCAAGCCTCACTTTGCCCATCTGTAAAATAAAAGACCATATGTCTATGAAAATGAAAGGAACTAAAAAAGGTAAATTTGTAGAGAACTGTGTGTTAGTTTGTTCAGGCTGCTATATATAACAAAGTACCCTAGCCTGGGTGACTTATAAACAATAGAAATTTGTTTCTCACAGTTCTAGAGGCCGGGAAGTCTAAAATCAAGGTGTCTGGTGAGGACCCATTCCTCATAGATAGCTGTCTTCACATTATAATCTCACATGGCTGGATTATGTGGTGGAAGGGGCAAGGGAGCTCTCTTAGACCTTTTTTATAAGGATGCTAATTCCATTCATGAAGGCTCAGTCCTCATGACCTAATCACCTCCCGAAGGCCATCTCCCAATACCATCACCTTGTAGATTACGATTTCAACATACACATTTGAAGTTGGTCGGGGCACAAATAATCAGTCCACAACAATCTGTTTCCAAAAGGCAGGAGGCTCCATTCTTCTGGCACTTGCTGAACTCAATAGTTATAACTGCAGCAGTAGGTGTGAGTGTGGCAGGACGTGGATGGATCTTTGCTGCTGCTGCTGTCAGCTCACATTTATTGAGGCCCCACTAATGCTACAAGTGGTTCTAAGCACTTTACATGGATTTACTCACTTACCTATCACAATAACTCTATGAGACAAATATGATAATTGCCCCATTTTAAAAATGCTAAAACAGAAATGGAGAGATAGAGTCATTGTCTAAGATCTCAAAGTCAGTAAAAGGCAGTGTTCTTAACTATCTGGCTAGATGACATCTCTTAAGAGATGTTCTGTAACATTAGTTGAATGAATAAGAAATTAAGTGAGGACTCCTAAGGCCAGGGCAGGTGACCAGAAAGCCACCATACCAGTGCTTCTCAAAAGTTGTCTCTCCATAGTATTCTCTAGTAAGGCCAGCGTAAGCCACAGTGAATTTAAGAATGTAGAGAATTTTCTGAGGACCACATTATGAGGGTTACAAGAATATTCCATTTTCACTGGCTATAGAGACTGAGTTATGATATAGGGTAACAAACCAAAGCCAGAGTTCACAGAGGCTTAGGATTGCACAGGGTGATATAGGTGACTACATTTTTACCTATAGAAGCGGCTTCCCCCAAAACATTGGATTTTACTTCCTATCTTACCACCACCTAACTTCCCACGTGATGTTATAGAAGACTTTTTATCCCTGACAGTTTCCAGGCTTTGTTGTCTGCATTAGGCCAAGAAGATCTGGACTTATGGTTGCCAGATAAGACACAGATAAATGGCAGATAAAATAACTCGGAACCCTGTATTTTTTATTGCCAAAAATGGCAACACTATCTGGACTAGAACAGGAGTTTTCTTTTTCCTTTTTAATTATTTTTTTAAAGGCTGAGGTGGTTTTTTCTTTTTCAAACAAAACTTTCATGGAAACTCCATAAATAATCAGATATTCTGGCTCTGGGGGCTAGGGAGTGGAGGTTCTGGGACCTCATTTCCCCTCACTCAATGCCAAAAGCCTGCTTTAAAAACAAGAGCTTTCTTTAGTATGAATTTCTATCATTGGGTCTTAACTATTTAGTATTTAAGTACCTGTTTCATATGTTTTAATAAAACAAAATACAGGCATAGAGAGTTCTAAGTAACTCTAAATGCACTGGTAACTTCTTACATAAATAGCTCAGTTTGAAGATGAGAAAAAAAATGGCACAGTAGTTATTCATTACAATTGAAACCGACAATACTAGCTCTCTCAATGTTTTTCTGCTGCAATATACACAAGAAATTAGATACCTCCGGTGATAGCTCATTACAGCACTGCAGCACTGATTTTAAAGCAGGGGACAGAGGAGGTGGAAGAGAGAAGGGCTTTTTTCACGTTTGTTTATATTATGGTAGAAACTCCAAGTAAGGGGGCCGGGATGGCTCACCACTGTAATCCCAGCACTGTGGGAGGCCGAGGCAGGCGGATTACCTGAGGTCGCGAGTTCGCGACCATCCTGGCCAACATGGTGAAACCCTCTACTAAAAATATGAAAATTAGTCTGGCGTGGTGGCACACGTCTGTAATCCCAGCTACTTGGGAGGCTGAGGCACAAAAATTGCTTGAACCTGGGAGGCGGAGGTAGCAGTGAGCTGAGACTACGCCACTGCACTCCAGCCTGGGTGACAGAGGGAGACTCTGTCTCAAAAAAAAAAAAAAAAGAAATTCCAAGTAAGGGACTCTGAATTTACTGACACTCTCCATTTCCTTTGTAAACAGGTTCACTAATGGTCACGTACACCGACGTCTTAAGGCCAACAGGCTACTCTTAGTCGCCCAGGCACTTCTGTTCTTACCAGCTGAGTTGCTTACTTGCCAAGAGTCAGCTGTGTTTATTCTTAAATTTGTTTATGACAGGTTGATTGTAATGTAATAATCTAGTTTAACTATATATCACCTAAATCAATAAAAAGAGCACAAATTGATGGTCAGTTCTATGAAAATTCAGTTAAATTCTTGAGAAATATTGAAAAAGGTAGTCAGAAATAACTGCTGTCTACTTAGGTGGATGCCACAATGTGAAAGATAGAGAAAAAAACCTATACGAATTCTGCAACCAACTTGCTTCATAAGTATCTTAAACTTCTTAATCCACTTTAAGGAAACAAACTGGAAACCAAAGGAGGTGCATAATATTGTAGATTATGAAAGAAAGATAACCACAGGACTCCAATCGGCAGAAACCATGCTCAAAAATAGGTGTTGGTCTCACATCAGAAGATTGGTAAGTAAGTGCACATTTACACATTTTAAGGTTTAATAAAATGTTTGAAGAAAGATTTTTTGAATGATTACTCATTTTATCTGACTTTAAAACTTTTTAAAAATGTTATTATAAATTGACAACTTATAATCATATATTTATGGGGTACAAAGTGAGGTTATGATTTATGAATATAATGTGAAATAACTAAAGCAAGCTAATTAACATGTATATAACTTCAAATACTTAGATTTTTTTGGTGAGAATATTTGAAATTTACAAGTTTGAAATGTATGTTCCCATTTCCCCTACCCTCCAGCCTCTGTAACCACCATTCTACTCTCTGCTTCTATGAGTTTGATTGTTTTAGATTCCACAAATAAGTGAGAACATGCAGTATGTCTTCCTGTGCCTGGCTTATTTCACTTAGCATTATGTTTTCCAATTCCATCCATGTTGTTGCAAACTACATAATTTCTTTTTAAGTGCTGAATAGTATTCCATTGTGTATACGTACCACATTTAAAAAACCCATTCATCTGCTGATAGACACTTAGGATAATTCCGTAACCTGGTTACTGTGAGTAGTGCTGCAATAAACATGGGAGTGCAGACATCTCTTCGACATACTGATTTTAAATCTTTTGGGTAAATACTCAGAGGTGGAACTGCTCGATCATATGGTAATTTTATTTTTAGTTTTTTTGAAACTTCCATGCAGTTTTCTATAATGACTGTCCTAATTTACATTTCCAGTAACTTTTTAAAAAAATTAAATTACCCAACTACCAGTCCTGGTTGTTGGATAAGAACGCTTCCATTTAATATATACTTTTTAATTATCCTTTGTGTAAATGCAAAGTGTAAATGGCAACTTTTCTACTTGACCAATTTAAAAACTAAAAGACCTGCTGATAGGTCAGCCAAACCAAAATATACTCCACATATGACAATAAGTCTATGCAAGCTCAACCTACCTCATGTTCCAAAAATAGAGCTTTTAGTTGTCCTTTGGACCAAAAATCCATGGCATATGCTAGCAGCTTCATGGAGACCATATTGATTCTGAGAAAATTTCCAACAAACACAACTCTGTCTATATTCTGGAAAAAATGTTAAAGAAAACAATTGAATCATGACATAAAAATAGCATTTGGCAAAGACCCAATGTTATGTATGTCTCTGTACAGAACCTTGAAGAGTAAATTTTCCTTGTTTTTTTTTGGTGGAATTATTTCTACATTGCCAAAATGAAGTTAAACCAACCTTATAGTACATTCCACAAGAACAAGATGCTGAGATTTTTGTTAGGCAAGGCAGAAACTGATATTGGACTTATTTGCAGGTGTTATATCAGACTGCCTTAGGTCTGACATGAAATTAAGCTCCCAAAACACACCCATATATACAATTTTAACTGGAGTTCAAGTTCAGCTAAATTTTCATGTGTAATACCTCAATCCCCCAACTTGTAGGTATAAAATACACTTATGACCAACTCACAGATAAAATGGCTATGGTATGGTTTATTCATGTAACGAATAATGCTCAATTTGCTCTGTGCTGGACACTGGAAATACAAAGAAGAAAGAATACTCAGTCTCTGCCTTCAGGATATATGGTGGAATATCCTGTTTGGTCAACAGATGAGTTAAAATATGGTCACAAAAAATACTCTATTTTTGTCATCATGGATGTGGCTCTGCATTCTGAACATACACTTATGAACATTCCTCTCCTATCCTGTTCATGCAGACATTCTTCAAATCCCATAAGCTTCCAGCTCCAGTGCACTCGTTATACTTCCCACTCCCCCAGATATTTCTTAAGTTCAAACCAGAGCTCAGCCTGTCTACCATGCAGAGGCTGCTCACCACTCACTCACTCACTCACTCACTCAGGGCCAGTTGCTATGGTCACTCACTCATATCAAAGGCAAGAGAGTCTTTGAAGCTGGTATTATTTTCTGCTTAGTCTATCGAGAGTAATCACAGTCTGGGAACATTACCTTTTAACTGCCTCAAGTTTTAACAATGAATGTTCATGAACCCATTAGCCACTGAACATTTTCCGTGGGTGGAGGAGTGGAGGTAGTTTTAATAAATTTTCATTAAGAAAAAAAAAAAAACTAGCCACCCAAACTAAGAGGTGGCAAGGAACACTCTAAGAAACTCAGGCTAAAAAGAAATGTAATTAAATTGAGGAGCTTTGCCTTTTCTCCCAAAACAAGGGTGTCCAAGGGAGGATTTGCTGAAAGCCCATTCTTGCATTACCCTAATAGAAAGTCAGAAGGAGTAGAAGTGGCATTAAAACTGGAAGAGCATTCCATGTTTCAAATAAATTCCAGGTGGGTCAAAGATGTTAAAAAAAAAAAAAAAAAAAAAAAAAACCAGAAAGAAAAAGAAAGAAAAAAAAAAAGATGAGGGAAAAATACGGAAGAATTGGAAAAAAATGTTGAAGTAGAAAATGCATAATAAGGGAAATCATTTCAAAATAATTGCTATATTTACTTTAAAAAGTTAAATTTATTTGGGGAAAAACATCACCACAAACAAATCCAAATGGGAAGCAATAAATGGAAAATATTATCATACATTTCACATCAAGTGGAATTGTTACTTAAGAGTTCCATAAATCAATAAGAAAAAAAGGCCAACAACCCAATAGAGTAATGAGTAAATAATATTAATAGTTAATCCCAAAATAAGGTATAATTTTTAACCTATTACATTGAAAAAAATAAAAAAGTTTGATAACTCTCTGTGGAGAAACTTGTACCCTTATAACCCTGCTTGGTGGGAATATAAATTTGAACTACCTTTATGGAGGGAACTTTATATCTGTTAATACTACAATCAACATATCCTATGACTCAGCAAGTTCCCTTCTAGGAATTTATCCTATTTATATACTCACATATAGGCAAAATGATATGTGTGTATACATATATGTGTGTAAATCGTATATAAATACACTGTGAATATTTAAACAATAGTAAAAGACTGGAAAAACCTAAATATCATTAGGAAATTGAACAAATCAATAACAGCATATCTATATGTTAAAATGCCATAGGGCCGTTAAAAATGAAGCAATTTAAAATATACTGATATGATCAATTTCAAGACGCATTACTACATCAAAAAGCAATAGGCAGTATTTTTAGAGGTGCTTATTAAAACATATAGGGTAGATTGACATAATATCTTGGATTTGTTTTCTAGTATTTTAGCAAAAAAGAGGGAAGGAGGAGGAGAGAGGATCGGAGGGAGGAGGAAGACGAAAATAGAGAAAGAGAAAGCATGTGTTGTGAAGCCTTAATGATTGCAGAATCTGCACTGATGGATATATGGAGGTTCTTTATACTGTTCTCTCTCCTTTACATATGTTTATGCATCTTCTTAATAAAAAGCTGATAAAGCAAGATGTAGAATAGTATATGGAGGGTGAATTGTATAGCATATAATTATATTTCAATAAAACTATTATTTTGTAAAAAGAATGTTATAGAATTTGTTACCTTTAGAAAGATAAATGTATCCTACATTACATACAATACAAACAAAAGATATATTGTAATACATACAATAAAAACAAACAAAAAAACCCTAAAAAAAATGGCAGCCTCTACTGAGGTTAACACTGACAGACAGAAGTGGAAATGGTGACTCACTTCCTTGTGTATCCTTCTAATGTCTTAGTAGTCTGTATTATGTGTTTGTATTATCTATTCAAAAATTTGAATCAGAAAATTTAAAATTGATGGGGAAGCATTTCACAGCATCTCAAGAATCACGGCAAAAATGTTTTAGATTTGGTAAATGTGGTGTCCCTCAATGAAATGGCTGAAATCAAAGGGTCTCAAATCAGTGACTCCAGAGAGCAAAGCAAGGACTGAGGGACTTGGTGGCTGCTCTCATGGGGAAACCCAACAATGCCAGTCACTGGCGCAGCCACTGGGAGTCTGCACTGACTGGACACCCACTGGGGGAGCCTTGGCCCCAAGGCAACTGGTGATTCCCTTCACTCATTCAGCCCCACAGAAACATATAAAATAGTTGTTCAAACCAGTGTTTGACGTGAAAATGTAACATGGCTACATTTTCAAATTGGCACTCTTGCTATACTCCACCAATCGATAATATTGAAATTGAAATCAAAAGTGAATAGTAAAGTCAGTCGCTCTCTCCCAAAGGGATTCTGATACCTGTGAAAAGACCTGCTGACCTGCTGGCTCACTCCAGCCAAAAGCACAAGAAGCTGGCTCTGTGGAAAGTAGGGGAAAGGCCATCTATTGCTCTGTGGGGCAAGGGGTGTTACCAGCTGACCTTTGAGAGCCCATGAGTACAGCCAGCTACACACATATTGGTCTTGGGGCTTGTTTCATTACTTGGAAAAATTCCCTTTAAAGGTTAATGTCAAGAAATAAACTCTGTTACATTGAGTCCCAAGACTCAAGTGGACTTTGAAAAAACATCTCTGGAATGCTCTTTTCTCTCAGTATCAGCCTCCCATTTAAACTCCATCTGAACTGAGGGCGTCCAAAAAGGTATATCCCTGATCTGCAGGCCAGTAACATACTCTGTTCAGTGTTATGCAAGGAGAGTGTGTTTTTTGTCAACCCAGAACTCAAATGCAGGGCTAACACCCATGTATCATAAAGACTGCCTCCTACACTAACATTCAACTATTCAACTGGGAGGGGGCTCAAGGGGCTTTCTGAGTACCTATAATGTTCTATTTCTTGATCTGAGTGATGGCTATACAGGGGTGCTTGTGTGGCGTAAATTCAACTGTAAACTTACAATTTGAGCCTTCTTCTGTATGTATATCACCTCTCTATTAAAAGCTGTATTTATAAAAACTCCATTACAGAGCTACTGTGGTTCTTTAATACTCTCCTATGACCTATTCCATGCCCCAACTCTTCTTTCTTGTCTTTCTAATACACCTCAGTGTGAAGAGTTCTACTTTACACACCTTGTATTTCAGAAAAGGTTCAATTTTTTCCAAACGAATCTTGCAGTGCTTCAAAACATGTTAATAAAACTTTGTCTGTCACCAGCTCCACCCCTTTTTGTGCCTGGGGCTCTGGTTGGCCTTGGCTGTAGCAAGCTCTCTGTGCTTTGATAGCCCTGTACAATGCTGCTTGAACTCCATGCCACAAGGCAACACTGTAAAGAAGCTGAAAGCAGAGAGAATATCGAATATTGCAAGTCGAGCATTTTACCTGCAGTTATGTGCAAGGATGCTCAGACCTTTTCCTCACATTTCAGTGGACACATGGTAATAATGACGGTTAGAGAGACTATGACATGGGTTGTAATTGTATCATGTTTCCACAGTTGAATGGTTTATCATTCATTATCATCTGGTGCCTTCTTAAAAATAAAGCATATATTCTTCCCCCTCTCCCAACACACACCCCTCCTGTTCTGTAAAGTGTGACTATAGTAAAGGGAAGCTTTCCTAAGGATATGCAGCTGTGTAAGACTCAGCAGGTGTTGCACTGCCCAGATGATGTGTATGAATGACACACAGCTTTCGCCAGGTTGAGTAAGGCCTTACCTCATTCAACGCACACATCCGAGCAATGGAGCCAATGTTGTTGGTGATGGTGACCAATGTGGCCCGGGCGAGGTCTTCCTTGCTGATGGAATCTCGCTTTTCTTTACTCATCATGTTGCCAAAGCTATGTTGGAAATATTAGCGAGAGTGTTCAAAATCATCCTCAGGCAGGGCCTATCCTTCCACCAAAATACTGTGGAAGGCTCTATGAGTAACTGTTCAAACTCAAGTGGTCCAATTTCGCTACTATGGTTTATAAGCAGACAAGATTATAGTATGCATGGCTGACTGCCCTTTTCTTAATAGGGACAAAGTAGCATGTCCATTGATGGGGGAAAAAATTTTAATGCCTCTAGATATCTGGACAAGAATGAAACAGGTGAAACTATTGCAGTTTTCTAGAACCTTCTTTCAAAGTTGCCTTATTTTAAGAACAAGCATCAAGAGCTAACTATCTCAGTGCTTCATCAAGGGCAGGAGATCAAATCTGAGTTCTGATACAACAGGTATCTGCACCAGGCTGGTGGATTGACATTTTAAAACATAACTTAGTGAATGGCCAGGGTGGAGAGGCTGCCTTGTGTTTAATCACTACTGCTCCTAGCTACTTAATCTCTACCTTGATGCTACAGCAGATCCTTGAAGGCCAAATCGTTCATAGTCTCCTCCGTAAATGTCCTTCACCAGCTTATCAACATTGGTGCTGTCGCCTTTAGCTGCCATTTCCAGAGCTTCTTCAAAGGTCTCACAACCAGTCAGCAAGCAACATAGGCCTAGGAATGTTCCACCTCCAAGACTGAAGGAACAATAAGGTTTATTTTTAAATTTTACTTTAAGATATGCCCATCCAAGTCCCCAACTACGTCAAGACTATTAATATGGGTGAATAAAAGCAGATGAACAAAGGGGCACTTGAATTAAAGTGCTAGGGTGCAACAGAGCTTTAGGGTAGACTGGATATGAAAAGAGGGCAGAGACCAAAAATAAACATCAAGGAAAATTTGCCCCTAAATTTGAGAACAAAACCAAAGAAAGACTCTCACTGATTTCTGTTGTGAGACCTTCACCTAACCACTAACCTGAGTGCTTTGTTCAGCCTTCCCACCTATGAAATGGGGCCAAATCATGATCTCTTCTATTTGGGTGGTCTGAAAGCAGCAAACAACCAAGAAATAACTCCTATTAAAAAACCATATGCAGCTGAATATAAATACCTAGAAAAAGAATTTGTGTGTACATAAAGCATAGTTCACAGCTATGAAGCCAAACCCTCTGATGACAAAACTGACCCAGGATTGTGCCAAGAGTGGCCAGTTTTAAAAGCTGTCTTTGACCTGACCTTGCTTTTCTAGCAGAGATAATCTCATTTAGCCTCCTTGAATATTTCTAGAAGGGAACCATTGATCTGACACTGAATTTTTTTCTAGTAGACTCTCCAGAAGGTTTTTAAATATATTACTTACCACTCAATAGTAAAAAACAGTAACAAAGGTCATAAAGTGGTTCCAATGGTTGAACTACATTTAAAAACCTTTGACTTGTTTAGGGGGAAATTTCCTCTAAAATAGCCTAGACAAAATTAGAAAGTAATTACAGTAGCCAAGAATGAACTCAATTGTGTATTAATATCAAAGTTACCTAATGGAAAGAAAAGCAGATTCAGAGTAAAGTATTGCCAGTGAACTCCCAGCAGGAAAAGAAGATTGATTCCTGAAGCTAATGGACATAGGTTTTCCTATTTCTTTACCATGTAGAAGAGTAAATGAAGAAGAGCTGCTCACATCCATCTGTTCTAAAGCCCCAAGAAGCTACTAGCTTTGGAAATTCAATTTGTGTTTGAGCACTGGCTTTTACTTCTAAGAATAAAATCAATTTGGGATTAAGGTTATGTTTAAGGTCAATAACTGTTAACAAGAAGGTACAAAACTGTAGACAGGTACATAGTTCTTGAAGATGCCTCTAAAACGAAACTGACTGGGTGTGGTGGCTTATGCCTGTAATCCCAGCACTTTGGGAGGCTGAGACGGGTGAATTACTTGAGGTCAGGAGTTTGAGACCAGCCTGGCCAACACGGTGAAACTCCGTTTCTATGAAAAATGCAAACATTAGCCAGGTGTGGTGGTTCACACCTGTAATCCAAGCTACTTGGGAAACTGAGGAAGGAGAATCGTTTGAACCCAGGAGGTGGAGGTTGCAGTGAACCGGGATTGCGCCATTGCACTCCAGCCTGGGCGACAGACAGAGCGAGACTCCATCTCAAAAAATAATAAAATAAAATAAAATAGCGAAACTATGTGTAATATTCTTAAATTGTCATTTGTATAAAAATATACTTGATTGAGGCCAGGCGTGGTGGCTCATGCCTGTAATCCCAGCACTTCTGGAGGCCAAGGCAGGTGAATCACCTGAGGTCAGGAGTTTGAGATCAGCCTGGCCAACATGGTGAAACCCTGTCTCTACCTAAAATACAAAAATACAAAAATTAGCCAGGCGTGGTGGCATGCGCCTGTAATCCCAGCTACTCAGGAGGCTGAGGTGGGGGGATTACTTTTACCCTGGTGGAGACTGTAGTGAGCCGAGATTGCACCACTGCACTCCAGCCTGGGTGACAGAGCCAGACTTCATTTAAAGAAAAAAAAAAAATGTGTGTGTGTGTGTGTGTGTGTGTGTGTGTATATATATATATTTATTTATTTTACTTAATTTACTCATATATATATACACACATACACATACACACACATATATATATATGATTGAAATTATGGGTTTTCATGGAAAATTATGTAGCTAGGCACCACCAGTAGCAGCCAGCCAAACTGTAGATGCAGTTCCATGAGTAAAAGAAGAGGTCCATGTACATTATTACCTTCACAACTTAGTCACAGTAGAAACTTTGGATTTCCTCTAAGAAAGTTTATCTTTATTTACATTTAATGCAGTATGTCATTCTACATTGCTGGTTTCAGCCTACCTACAAAGCTAGTGTGGGAACATGTTCTGGTTTGTGTGCCATTTGGATTTGGTTTGCTTTCTCCCTGTGTATTTTTAGAAAGACGTCTTTGCTCCCATTTCTAGCTTCTAAATATCTTTCACCCCCACGAATAACCTTTCTTTGAACATTAAGGATTTGTATTAATTGAGGCATTCAACAACCCACTCAAAGGTAGGCAACTGAAGACACTGGCTGACTTAGAAAGAAGGTAACTCATTGGCTGATGTGTTGGTATAAATGCAAAAGGGCAAGTGCCTTGTATGACTGGAAGATGACAGATGATTCCACATAAAGAATTGGAACAAATGAGGTAAAGCGAGCATGCATTTGACAGCGAGTGCACTGCAGATAGGAGGAAAGAATGCACAGCTGCAGAAGGGCCAAATGTCTCCCAGCACTTTATTAATGTCCTCAACCTGCTAACCATTATTTAATCAAGGGATTTCCCTGCTCACAGTCAGATACATCTGTTTGTTTCAGTAGGCATACAGTAAAAACCCTCAGTGTATAAGAGACAAAAACAATGCAAGAAAAAGCTGTAGAATATTATCATCATTTACAAATAAAACAAAACAACATCATAGTGGGGGATTTTAGGAAACAGCAGAAGAAACCTTCAATTAAGTGCTCATGCCCTTAAAACAGATTCCAAAATAATGAGATGAGATGTACTGCTACTTTCACCAAAGTTTCAAAATCATCTGCATTCCTCTTTTAACAAACTACACATTCTAATGTCAGCTATAAAGTACTATTTTTTTCCATTGACTTCTATAATTGGAGTTGTCTCACTAGGAAAAAAATGTTGCTACCCAATCTGGGATGCAACAAAATTATATGTAACACTGAAATAAACCATTTGAAATCATGTTTAAAAGGAAACTGACATCCTGTGTAGTTTCTTGAAAATAAACAACTTTAATGTTTAATGGAAAATCAGGTATAATACAATAAGAAAAAACCTGGAGTGACAGCTATCAGTTCACAATAGGAGTAGCAAAACTTAAAGCTAGGCCATTTGCTAAAACAGTGGTTCCTAAAATGTGTTTTACACACTCACACTAACCGTAGATACTAACTTCACTGCTAACTGTAACCATTTATGTCAGAGGTTTCCTAACTTGAATTAAAAGAAACCTTTGGCAAAACAACTCTGGATCAGGATCACAGCCCCACAGACTTGGTGTTTCACTCCCCTCCCCTCTCGTGGTAGCCCCGAAAGGGTTCTCTATTAACCTGCAGGCTTCGGTAGCACCTTTCCAAAGCTACTGATTGAAGAGAGAGTTTATAGGGAAGCTGGAACATCCAGACAGAATTTGTTGATGACTGGAGAATACTGGACATTAAAGGGCATTTACCAATATTTATAGACATTATTACACATATAACAGAAGCCAAACACCACAGTTTGCTTCTTCGCAGCTATTCAAGATGACCCAGATCCGTGGAGCCTCCAAGTTTAAGAAAGTGTCCCTGTGATGTAATTCATTTAATTGTTAACTGTTGATAAAACTGTAAATATCTCTAATTGTGAACAACGCATAGCTTGCTCTTACCTTGGGACTAGCTTTACCAATTCAATTACTCCTTCTGGGAGGAGGTCTGTAGTTTCTTAAAAATTATATGTTTATCAAATCACTCCCTAATGTAAAACCAGCTCAGCTGAAATATTCATGTCTCTGATACTCCTGACAGTCCTCATGAGGTCATGGAGTCAGTTTTGTTTCTTGTGTGAGCAAGCAAGCTTCTATATTCTCAATAAGAAAATGTATACTTGGTAGCAATTAACTTACAAAACAAAGCCTATACTCTGGACACAAGTAGGCTTCAGTTAGAATGTGTATATGTGTATGTGTGTGTGTGTGTGTGTGTGTGTGTGTGTGTACATGCATGCCAGGGTTTCTCAACGGCAGCATTACTGATATTTGGGGCTCGATAATTTTTTGTTGCCTTATGTACTACAGGATTTTAGCAGCACCCCTGACCTCTACCCAGTAGATGCCAGTTGTACCAACCAAAGAAAAAAAAATGTCAAACATATCCTGGGGGGCACTGTTAAATCTTCCCCTCTTCAGTGGGGAGCCACTGATCTATCACAAGTCATGGAAATGTACTGCAAAAGCAATGTTCTCCTCCTAATGGGTGAGTAGTCCTGCAGAATTTCAGTACTGGAGAAGTCTGTAGAAGTAATCTAAGAAACAACCCCCTTCATGGCAGAAATGATGATACTGAGACCCAGAGAAGTGACATATCTGCAGCTATCAAAAACCCTGGTTTCAACACCAAATCCCAAAGCACATTCTGCATGGCACTAATCTCCTAAGATGCTCCTCTAAAAATGGGTTCTACGGTTCCATATGCTGGAGAAATGCTTCATACCAAATTCTCCTCCTAGAATTAAGGAAAACCTATTTAGTTTTGTTTACACTGTGATGTTTTAGAGAGATCTGACCTCAGATGTTTTTCCCATGTTGAATCCCCATTAACAGGAAGCTGAGCCCCTTGGCTCTTACATGGGCCTTGGGGTGTGTGCACTAAAAAACAAGTCCCTCTGTCTCACTGTGGCCACGGTGCTGTTTCCCTGTCTACTCCACTCCAAAATTCCCTACGAGGCGTGCTGACTATTCCCGTTTTCAGGTGGAGCATTTGGCTGAGGGTAAAAAGACATTCTTTGTAGACCTAATTTGGTTTGCTGTTTGGATTGGTATATTATTTCAAGCAAGTCATTCCGAGGTAGGCATCAATGAGGGTCCAAAAGAAGGTTTCTTCTGAAGTCATCTCTGACCATCCCAAGTATCCTTCCATCTGAATTCTACTGACCCTGCCAATCATCTGACACTTAATGTATACCCCCTTGTTGGCAAATTTCTGGTGTGTGCAATCCTTCTTCCCTCAATCTGACCAAAATTTCTATCAAGGCAAGGACTGTGTTTTATTAACATTTATATAAATCACCCACATACCACTTTAACACACCATTCGAGAAATTCTTTTTGGTTGGCCAAGGAGGTCAAGATATTTCTTTTAAAGATGTATTCAATATACATAACCTTTTACTATAAACTGATCATCAAGAAAGAGGTCTGGGTTCAAGCACAAGTGGAAACATGTTTACCTGGTCCCTGTAACTCTTTTATAGTTGTCCTTGGAGTACACAGCTAGAATGCTGACACCTGAGCCCATGTTAACCAGCAACATAGGGTATGGGTTATCAAGGCAGTACGGCTTTTTTTGACACAATTCAGGATTTGTGGGATTTTCAAAATAGTAACATTCTGGCTTGCCGTTGAAGCCAACAGAGTCGACATAAAGCAGGCCCTGAATCAGACAGTCCAGTTCATCCAGTTTATGCAGCTGCAGGTCAGCAATCTAAAACAAAACAAACAACAAAATAAAACCTTTTGAGATAGGCGACCACTTAAGGGGAAGCCCCAGAGGTTTTAGTTCTAGTTAAGTTGGGGTCATTCATATTAAAAGCTTGGAGACACCCTTAAAACAAGTTGTAAAATCTTGCAGATAATCAGCCACTGCACAGGAAAAGTAGCCTTGGCTAGATGTCATACCTGCCCACAGTGCATGCTAAAGGACAAGAGCTTGCCTGGTTGCTTGAAATGCACCCATCAGCGTGTGTTGTGGGTTGAATGGCGGTCCCTGAAAGATGGCACTATGTCCTAATTCTCAGCACCTGTGAATGTGACTTTATTTGGAAAAAGGGTCTTTGCAGATCTAATTGAGTATCTTGAGAAGAAGTGACCATCCTGGATTATTGGGGTAGGCCCTGAGTCCAATGGCAAGCATACAGACACACAGGAGAGATTTAAAGGATGCAGAGGAGAAGGCCATATGAAGACAAAGGCAGAGACTGGAGTGCTGCTCAACGGGCCAAGGAATGCTGACAGTCCCCAGAAGCTGGAAGAGGCAAAGAATGGCATCTCCAAGAGCCACTGAAGGAAGTACGGTCCCGCCGATGCTTTAAATTTGAACTTCTGGCATTAAGAACTGTGAGCAAATAAATTTCTGTTGTTTGAATCATTAAGTTTATTTGTTACAGCAGTCACAGGAATCTAATAGGGGATGCCGCCAAGAAAGAGGTGCTTGCACAGGGTGAGCAGACTGAGAACACTCAGAAAGCAACAAAAATGCTATACTTCCTTGGTAGAGCATGAAGTCCTGAGGGACTGGGAACTGGGGTGAATCCCCTTTGAGCCCACAAAGCCCAACTCCCCTTTTTCCAGGCTTCGGCTTTGGAGTTAGATCTGGCTTTGAATTCTAGCTCTAAAATTTACTTAACTGAAAGATTTCTCAAACCTCAGTGCCCTCATGTGTAAAATGGGGAAGATAATCATAACACTCATTGCAGAGTGCTGCTGTGAAGATTACCTAAAAATATAGGTAAAGTGCTTACATAGGCCTTGGCAAATACAAAGGGTTAAAAAAAAAGTTGGCTCTTTTATTTATTTATTTTTTATTTTTATTTTTTATTTTTTTTTTGAGACGGAGTCTCGCTCTGTTGCCCAGGCTGGAGTGCAGTGGCCGGATCTCAGCTCACTGCAAGCTCCGCCTCCTGGGTTTACGCCATTCTCCTGCCTCAGCCTCCCGAGTAGCTGGGACTACAGGCGCCCGCCACCTCGCCCGGCTAGTTTTTTGTATTTTTTTAGTAGAGACGGGGTTTCACCGGGTTAGCCAGGATGGTCTCGATCTCCTGACCTCGTGATCCACCCGTCTCGGCCTCCCAAAGTGCTGAGATTACAGGCTTGAGCCACCGCGCCCGGCCGGCTCTTTTATTAATGTCTGGGGTGGTCCCCGAGTATCCTATTATGTTCCTGTGAGACAAACATGGACGGGGCAAAAAGGTAAAGGGGAATGACCTGGCTGAGGGCTAGGCTTAGGGTCTGGTAGCCATTTTGCATTCTCAAAAGTTTAATTTATGATCCTCAAATGTATTACTACTGGCCCAGAGATCTGGATTCATGATCATTTTCCATGGACCAAAGAAAGAAAAAAAATCTAACAACCACAAACATGAAACTGAACAAATGAAGATAATTTAAAAGACCCAATATAATTAAAAAAAAAAAACTCTTTAAAAATATAATAGCAAGTATTTACTGTTTACTACATGCCAAACCCTTGTACCAGATTATTTAGTTCTCTCTAAAACCCTAAAAGTAGGTACTATCAACCTTATTCTATGGTTAAGATTCACAGAACTTAAATAACTTTCCTAGGTGACACAACTAGCAAATATCTCCCAATGACTTGCTGTGTACTTCTCATGTCTTCATTGTCATAATGGGTACTGCTTCTGGAGTCTGGAAACAGCCTACACAAGTGCTAGACTTAGATATTTTGTCAAAAAGATATTATCTTCATTATAAAAGTTAAGAGCTAAAACGGGCTGGGGTGTGGTAGTTCACACCCGTAATTCCAGCATTTTGGGGCGCCAAGGTGAGAGGATCACTTGAGTCACGGATTTTGAGACCAACCTGGGCAATATAGGGAGACCCCCATCTCTTAAAAAAAAAAAAAATTTGCCTGACGTGGGGTACATGCTGCTGGTCCTAGCTGCTTGGGAGGCTGAGGTGGGAGGATCACGGAGTCTTGGGAGGTCAAGGCTGCAGGGAGCCATGATCATGTCACTGCACTCCAGCCTGGACAACAGATTGAGATTCTGTCTAAACAAGCAAAAAAAAAGAGCTAAAACAACATTTTTGACTTCCTGTTACTCATTTGAATTTCCTATTTAACAAAATCCTCTGATTATATACCTGCAGAACAGAATTAGTTAGAATAGGTTACCAACCAGATAGTGGATGTATTCTTGAAATAAACATTCTAAATGACCCATGGTGCTAAGTAAATCTACCTCATAAATGGTTCTAAACATTTCTTTTTTTACCAAGTGAAACTCCTGGATGAGATATACATAATTATACATGTTTTAAGAAGCAAAATTACAGATATAAAACTATCTGGAGACCTGAAAGACTATAAAAGGGCATAGCAGTGTAAACACTATTTCCTCTGTTCTCCCTGATTCCACAGCCTTCCATTGCACAGGTCACGCTCTGTCTCTGGCTGCCCCTTAGCACTATGCTCAAAGGCCTGCACATAATAATTGCTTAATATACATTTATTACGTGGAACAGGGAGTTATTATCTCTTGGATCACCCCAAACTGAAAAGTAGCAATTTCATCAGCCAGTCTTGGAAGTATAGTTTAACTGCTTAAAAATTAATCAGAGGTTCATCAACAATATTGACAGCCAATTCCAGAGCCAACATAACAAACACAAACACAAAGTCTGTCCTGCTGGACCTCCTGAAACTATACTAGGAAAAAAAAAAAACCTGTCAAGGCAAATAATCTACGCATGTACTACTTTGACCTGAAAAGAAACATCATTATTTCACCCTTTCCCTAAAAATCATTTTCTAACAAAGTACTAGCAGCAAACAAACATCTCCTCTACATATTTCACTGAGGGGTGGATATCTCAAGCTTGAGGTCATGCATCCTCAGACAGGGAAACAGATATATGTCACTTTCACTGAGCCCTACAGAGAGCTCCCTCAAAAACCTTCACCATCTGGGAAAAATGACAGGGTGCAGGCAGTGAGTCACACTGCTACTTGGATTTTCATAGAGGCCATCTGAAATTCAGGACGAGTTGGGAATTAATCATCAGACTTTGCAGTCCATTAGTACAACTGAATTAACTTTGTGCAAAGCTTAGAACAGCATGTTAGATTTCAGCTAGTGAGAAACACTCTCTCTCGGGGCTTAGTTTTCTTTACATCAAGGGCCACAGACTCAAATGCCTAAAGGAGACTGTAAGAAAACAAAGGAGCAAAGGCCTTGACTAGATGTAGAGTCACAGAATAAAGACTGTAGCAAACAAGTCAACCTGCACCTATTTAAAATTCACCTGCCGCCCACTGTTGCCACGCGATGTTAGGGGGCCCAGTGTTACCAGATGACCCTATTTTTTTAAGAGCCAGAAATCCATAAGAGGGTTCTTTTCTTTTCACAAAGGAGACCTACAGAGACCTGAGAGAGACGAATTTCAAACATGCTCAGTGACTGACAAATATAACAAAAACCTCAAGGATAGCTTTTTCCTCCCTCTATCAAATGATGACGGGGGCCATCTATGAGTGGTCAAGTCTCAAGCCAGAATGAAATTGAGATTGATAGTGTCTACCAAATCTTATGCTCCTGCAATATCACAAATCAGTCCTCAGATTAATAATAGGGACCAAGGTAACAAGTGTTCGTAAATGATGCTCTTAGGTTTAGACATTCCACAGATCCATAGGTGTCCTACCCGCTCATGATGACTTTTCCACCACTATACACTTTTTAAGACTGGTCCCTTGGAGATTTCTGGCATAAGAAAAGCCAATTCTTAAGTCCTCACACACTGGAAAAAAAAGTGATGAAAGTAATCAGAAAACCCCTTCTGCTGCCCTAAGTTTCATGTCAACCGAATAAGACTATTGTTATATCCTACTTGTTCTAAGGGTAGGTAATTTTTTTACATTTAAAGTAACTAAAAGAGTTACTTCTGACTTCTAGTCAATGTTAGGTTTGGACTGGACAAAACTCACAAGTATCTACATGCATACTTCCAAGATGTTGCAGGTTGACTTCCGGACCATCTCAGTAAAGTGAATACTACAATAAAGCAAGTCACATGAGTTTTTTGGTTTCTTAGTGCATATAAAAGTTGTTTACACTGCCAGGGGTGATGGCTCATGCCTGTAATCTCAGCACTTTGGGAGGCCTAGGCAGGCAGATCACTTGAGGTCAGGAGTTTGAGACCAGCCTGGCCAACATGATGAGACCTCTGTTTCTACTAAAAATACAAAAATTAGCCAGGCGTGGTCGTGACGTATCTGTAATTCCAGCTACTTGGGAGGCTGGGATAGGAGAATCGCCTGAACCCAGGAGGCAGGTGTTGCAGTGAGCCGAGATCACGCCACCGCACTCCAGCCTGGGCACAAAGCAAAACTTCATCTCAAATAAAATAAAATAAAATAAAAAAGTTGTTTACACTATACTGTAGTACATTGAGTGTGCAATAGCATTATGTCTTTTTTTTTGAGATGGAGTCTCACTCTGTTGCCCAGGCTGGAGTGCAGTGGCACAATCTGGGCTCACTGCAAGCTCTGCCTCCCGGGTTCATGCCATTCTCCTGCCTCAGCCTCCTGAGTAGCTGGGACTATAGGCGCCTGCCACCACGTCTGGTTAATTTTTTTGTATTTTTAGTAGAGACGGGGTTTCACCCTGTTAGCCAGGATGGTCTTGATTTCCTGAAGTCATGATCCATCTGCCTTGGCCTCCCAAAGTGCTGGGATTACAGGCG